ACTAAGTAGTCCCCTAGTGGACAAAAAGAGTTAATACCACATACATCTTAGTGGAATGAGGAAGAACATTATTTACTTTACTTATATCCTAGGGTACCTTCATGTGAATTGGTAAGAGTGTCCAGTTCCAAACCAATTCATTCTTCAGTTACAGTGAGCTTAAACTACTACTAATATTATCAACAATAATACTGACCTACTCAGCCTCCCACTACTTGACCAGAATTATATTTCTTGTGCTATGCTTTATAGATTGTGCATTCTTTGGCAGTGTTTCCATTTTATAATATGAACATTTTGAAAGAAGAACTGGATTAGAATTATTTGGGAGGATCATGCATTCTACTTTTACCAGGAAAAGTCCTGGTTTGTGCTGCCTTTCCTGTATAATTATTAGTATCACCTTCTCTTGTGATCATTAATTGTTCCAGTCTTGATAGTAAATTATGTAGTAACCCTAATGCTATTTCTTACTCCTTACTGCTACTTTTTTCCAGTTAGATACTCCAGAAATGTTGATATAACTCATCTAGACTGGAGAGAAATCTGATGTAATCTGATTCTAGCAATTCTAGCAATTACTGGGGTTTATTTGAGTGATTGTCTGACTAGAAAGCCATTTTCTTTTCTCTTAAATACTCTCCATGTGCTCTTTCATAAGTTGTAATCTCATTAGAGAAGAGGACCATAGCTGATTAGTGGTGCTGTATGTGCTTCTGAGCTAACTTCTTTCAATTTCCTTAGACGTTCATGGCTTCTAAAAGCAACCTCTAAGCCAGTTGAATGCTAAGATATGTTGGTTGGCCATAATGTGCAGAGCTTAGGTGAAATAAATCCAGCAAACACTCCTGTAATTATACCTATATAATACATTATTGCAGAGCTTTTGATGGTAAAATACAAATGTTAACAGGCAGAAGATTTAAACACCAGAATTTAACCAGAACAAAGGGAAATTGTGAACACTTTCGAGATACCTCACAAGATCATCCATAATGAACCAAATCTCTCCTTTCATAGGCAGAGAACAACATGGATAACTTTAAAACTCAGCTTACTGAGTCTTTCAAAAATCAAATGTATGCTTGATGTATGCAGAATTAAATTGGTACTAAATTGGAACTAAATTTAAAAGGTTGTTATGTGAAGGCAACACAGTAGAATTTTTTTTGGTATCTGGCAGAGGGCTTTGAATGGCTTGTTAAAATGAAGTATGCGGGTCTTGTTCAGAAAGATGTCTTAGGAAGCATTGGCAACTCCTTACATGATTTGATTCAAATGATTTAATAAATCCAGTCACTAAAACAATATCTTAATGGATGATATGATTCAAAATGCCAAAATAAAATTATTGCAAATAAAGAGGCATATAAAATTACACTCACATTCAGATATTGCTTTGTGATTTTGATGAAGAATTAGAAACAAAATTACTCTAAATGGCTTAAACAATACATTTCCTTTTTATTTGTTCTCTTTTCCCTCTCATAATCCGTGACCTGTTTCTCCCTCTTCCATGCTGTTACTCACATCTTAACCATACACATTTTACATGTGAATGAGATTATGAATTTATGACTCTGGAGATAAATGCATACACATATACTATAAATGATATTGTACTGTTTTCTTTACACCTTATGAGCTTATCTTTCAGATAGGAATCATAGCATAATAAAATGCATTAAAATTTATCCTTATAATTGAAATAATTTTGGGGAATTTCTGTACCAAGAAGTTAGCTATAAAATACCAGTGGAATAATTCTGGATTCCTTGGCATAGTATTGAGCATAAACAATCGGCAAATCAATTAGTAAATCAATAAAGAAGGTCCGCAAAGGAATAGGACCATCCTGAGTTGTTTACGATCACAGTTGAAAGCCAAGGTCTTCAGTATGACCATCAGCAGTTAATTCTGGAAAAAAAAAAAATCAAGGAGAACTTTGGATGCTTGGGTGTTTTCTTTTGCAGCTATTCAAGTTTAGATGTAGGATGTAGATGTATACTCATTTTTTTTTCCATACAATAAGTGCTTATGCTTTTCCATTTCTACAGGGATAGAGGTTAACTAATACCAGGTTTACAGAACTGAACATGAAACTTAATTATAGTTGACTATCCAGTGCAATAAAATACTGTACATTCCTATAAATACTCATAATCAGGATTACAAACTTGGAATGGCCAAACTATTGCAATGCTATTTTTAGATTGGCTACTGCAGTGCTCAAGGTCTAGTATGTAGTTACTGTTTGGTAATGTGTAAGAATTCATGGGTATATATTTTACACTGACTTCATTCTTTGGTCCACTTGTGAAGTTCTTAACATATTTTCTTCTGCCTAACATTTTAATTTATATTTTCATTGGAAATCATGTGTAAAGCCATGATTATTTATATCTGGGGAACCCCTGAAATATATATGTATATATATATGTTCTATAAATGCTGTCTCATAGCACCCATTTTAGATGCATCAAGTTTAACTCCCTCACAG